TTTCACTTTTGAACTTGAGAGTAAGATAAACCTAATTCCAAAACTTCATACGATTTGGAGCAAAGTAAAAAAATTCAGATCCAAAACGCTCCATTGACTTGAGTAAATATTCCGTACCCAATGCCAAACATATGAATTTTTGACACAATGAAACTTCTAAATAATTTTTTGAATAATTGTATTGTGACTTAAGTAAAGTAAGGCAAAACGACTGCATCAGTTAAAAAATAATAATCTATCAAATTGAATATGTTTGAGCGCAATCACTTACAGTTAACAACCGTCAGGCGCATGCGCATGTTGCATCACCTGTCAGACGCATGTTATATTATTTGAAGTTTGTTAAGGAAAAAAAATTCAAAAAACCGCTTATCATTGATTGACATATTATTTTAATTTTTTGCACATCTCAGCTGCTTTTTGGCAATAATAATGTAAACATTACATTTTTCTTATTCATGATCATAAATATATTATATTTTAATATTGTCTTAGCCTATAAGTGAATGGAAATGTTTGGCAAATGACAGTCTTCATTTGTTTTTAATGTCAAACAATGCCCCAAATGTTTTCATTGTCAATCAATGATAAGCGGGTTTTTGTATTTTTTTCCATTTATTTCTACCATCTAACTATATTTCTATGAATCAAAAAATCTTAGAAAATTCCCTTAATAAACTTCACGAGGATTTATGAAAATCCGAATAATCGTTTAGGAGGATTTAGCTTTCATACCTCATTACAGAAGAATTTTATATATAAGATATATCTTATATATAAAATTCATAATTATGAATGAGAAAAATGTAATGTTATTGCCGAAAAGCAGCTGAAATGTGCCAAAAATTGAAATAATGTGTTTAATTGCACCCTAGACAATATAATATTACACATATAATTAAATTTGACAGATTATTATTTTTTAACTGCAGTAGTATTTTGCCTTACTGTACTTAATCACAATACAAAAAAAATACTTATTCAAAAAATTATTTAGAAGTTTCATTGTGTCAAAAAATCATTTGTTAGGATACGGAATATTTACTCAAGTCCATGGAGCGTTTTGGATCTGAATCTTTTTACTGTGCTCCAATTCGTATGAAATTTTGCAAATAGGTTCTTACTCTTAAGTTCAAAAGTGAAAATAATTTAGACCTCACGGGTGGATGACACCCATTCTGAGTAATGTAACAAATATCTTATACTATAAATCACAAGGACAAACAATGAATTTTTGTGCGATAATTTTGGAAAATCGATGTTTTAGTCATGAATGAACAAATAATCATTTATTTATACATGTACATCTACAGGAATGACTCAAAATATTGGATAACCCTTGGCAATAAAATAAATTGAGCTATTGGAAATAAATGTGTTCAATAAATTATAGTGAATATTACTAATATACTATTTCAATATTTGTTTGTTTGATGGTCTTACGTGGCTGATATGAGTTTCACAGTATAACTAAAGAGTTACGTGTGGGTTCTGAGACTCATCATTTTATAAAGCAGTTGAACATTTAAAATCACCCATATGGTTGTATATACATTTCGGTATAGACTGTAGTGTAAAAACATAATATGTTTTAACTGATCGGTAGATATGAGTATAAGTTATAAAAAAAATGGAACTTTTGAATTACAGACATGGGTACAGGACAACGTCTGTCGGGTTATCTAGTATATATATATATATATATATATATATATATATATGTTTATATATTTATATATAATCTCTTAGAAAGTATAATTAAATGTCAAAAAACAATGCAATATTGTTTTTATGACTCGAAGCGTGCTATTATGGTCTCTTAAAAGACAAATTTTCTACTATTATTTGATTATTTCAAGAAAAGCGTGCAAACAGTTCACTTCTTTTAAATTTATCAAACTAATAAAAAATGTTTGAAGTACGTTGCTAAAATAATTTAGTTCATTCATATGTTTGTATTTTCTATAATATTTAATACCCTAATATATTGGAATATGGAAAACATAAAGTTTGGAGAGGTAATTTTTTAAATCATTTTAATTTGCATTAATTTAGCAGCTGATTTATTATTTAATTATTTTGATTAAATTTAAATTCATGCCAAAAATTTAAGATTTTTTTATAATTTTAATAAATCTAAATATGATGTCAGAAATGGGATAAACTAAAGTGATTTGTTTAATTTATCTAGAATTTCTCTTATTGTTAGTAAATTGAAGTTGTTAGTAAATTGAAGTTGAAATTGAAAAGCGGGAAGTGCTGTTTATTAAAACATACATAGTAATTGAACTCAATAGGTATTATCAAAGTTTGATTTTTGCAAATTAGTTCGAAATTTTATTATTATTTTTATTTATTTTATATTCGAAACAAACTGAATTTAACGATTTTGAAAAAAAAACGTAATTCAATTTAAATTATGCTGTTTTTACAAATAAAAGTTCAAATTTAAAAAAACGGATAAAAAAGTTGTACAGTTGATATTATTTTAATTAAATTTATTTCAATTCTGCCGATATTCATAAGATTAAAATTAATGAATGATTGAAAATAATTGCAAATTATCTATATTTTTTTCATTTAATTTGAACTCTTCATTCATTTTTTAACATTATGAAACATTTCGAAATTAAAATGATGTGTTTGATAGAGAGACACTACTTTATTAGGATTTAAGTACATATAAAAACTTATTATTTATTCATTATTTAATTGTTTTCGAATACTTATATATTTTATAATTGCTATTTGGTTAAATGTATGTATTAATAGATCTTTTGTTCATTGTTTTCAGGTATTATTATATAATAAGGTTAATTTTGTAATAATAGCAGTGTTATTAGTCAACAACAACCTTATGAATTGCGAACATTTGACAACAATAATCCCATATGTTAATGAAACCAATAAAACTTTTACCAAAGATTCTACTAGAGATTTCATAATTTCGAAACAATTAGATTTTGAGCATAAATCAGAATTAAATGCGAATGCAGCAGGTTTATTAGAAAACAGAGTACAATCAGCAATTAATAGTACTGCAAGTGACAAAAAAGGTCTTTGGGTTCCTTCAATTACGGTAGTTGATATCAATGGCGCCAGAAGTAAAGATGGGAATCAGTATTCAATTACTGCCAAAAACAATACCAAGCCATTTAAGCCATCAGAAAGAGTTGGTGAGTAAGATTTTTATTTAATATTCCAATAATTCAAATTATTTTACCGTAGTCAAAATAATAGATGTTTATATATATATATATATATATATATATATATATATATATATATATATATTCCCGTAGAGTGACGTAAAATTTTTGAATATCTTTATAATTTTGCATGGAATGAAAATAATGAATAAATGTTTTGAGTTCAAATAGATTATTTATTACATACTGTAAACTTATAAGTGCTTTTTAAATTGGGCGACGAGCGTATTTTATGAACAACTTATGAGTACGTTTACAAGTCCTTTTTTTTGAATTTGGTTATTTTTAATAATTTAGAATTTTTTCAAAATTTTGAAATTCTTTTAGAAGTTTGAATTTTTTGGAATTTAGAGGAAACATTTTTTCTAAATATTTTGAGAATTTGGAAATTTTACAAAATGTTCGATTTTTTTTAATTTTCGAAATACTCTCAAATTTTTGTAAAAAATATTTTTTTTAGTTTTTCAAAATTTAGTTTTTTTTGAAAATGATGAAAAATGTCAAAAATTTGAATTTTTTGAAACTTTGAATTTGTTTGAAAAATTAGATTTTTTTTTTGAAAATTTTCAAAATTACTAAATTTTCTGTGAATGCATTTTTTGCACACCGTCTACTCATGCAAAATGGTTTTTGAATTAAGCTAATCGGATGATCCGTTCTCAAAAACTGCATAACCGTTTTTACACATTTTGCGCTCCATATTTTTTTAACTTATTTTTATTGAGAGTCCACAACGGCAAAATTGCTTTTTTCAAAAACACCTCGTGATTGAGTACGAACCAAATGATTTTTCAATCTTATAAACATATTATTCCATACTGTTGAAAATGTCGAGAACATTTGTTTGAACCATATAAATAAACTTCAAAATTAAAAACCTTGGTACGGAATCCGAAAAAATTTATACAAAGTGTGTTCACAATATTAAAATCTCTATAAAATATCTGATAATTTGTTCAATAAACATTTTTGATCGCCAAATGATATTTTTTTAACTTATTTTTATTGAGAGTCCATAACCGAGTATTGAGAGTTGTTCATTTCGTCAATACAAGTAAAATGCTTTTTGAATTTTGAAATCGGACGCTCCGTTCTCTTTTAAACTGAGTTACCGTTTTTGGCACTTTTTGCCCCGTACGTCTCCTTATCAATACGAATCGAATGTTTTTCACATTTGAATGTTGAATTATTCAAATCGGTTGATCAGTGTTCCCGAAATCGCCGACGAAATTTTGTATCCGCACACACACACACAAACATACATCCATTTTTTTCTAAGGTATGCCAAAATATTCAGAAAACTTTGAAACGTAAGGATATATAAAAATTATCATTTTCGATTTTTTTGCGATTACTATAACTTGCCCTACAGGAAGTTAAAAACATTGATAGATTTTCGTTTTTGATTTAATTTCGGAAAGTTATAGTAGCACATAAAATATAACATTCGTTTATTAAACTGTGGATGTTAATACACAGTTTTTATATTGTTATCTATATTATTATATGTACCAAATTTATGGCCTTAATGGGTATTTGAAATCAGCCTTACATTTTAACATTTTCAGGTTTTACGCGATATTTTCACAATTTTCCGCATTATCCCGAACCTAAATTTCCCAGCGCCACTAACGGCGCCTCAAATGACACAACTATTTCTAAAAGTAGTGAAATAAACCAAGCATTCAGTCTGAATTCTTCAAATACTAAATTTGATGATGAATTCACGCACAGTCGAGTAATTTTTCAAGACAATGAAAAAAGAGGGTATAAAATTAAGGAAGAAGAACAAGGCGAGGAAATGAATTTGGAATATGCTCTGCTGCAGAAAGCTATTAAATTACAGGTAATATCAAACATTAAAAATATTTTGAACAAAACTTCGAAACGAAATTGAACTGAAATACGGCTTAGTACAGAAATATTTAATTTTTTATTTATATTTGCTATTTTATGCGCTAATTAAAAAAAGAGTGCGCGTAAGGTTCACACGATTGATGTAAAACTTATTTGCTAGTGTACAAGATGGCATTTAAGTAAAAATAAATATAACAATTATCTAATTATGTAATTAAAATTAACTTACATTCATTGACTGATTATATTTTTTTACTTTTTCGCTGGCGATATAATCTCATTTCTTGAACAGCTGTAATATCTGTTGTGTCTAAAAAATATTTTCCATTTCAGTAACTTCAAAGATTTATAGAAACTACAAATAATATAGAAATTTTTTAAATAAACTTAAGTTTAATACGCGGCGCAAATGCTGCATTTGTTTTATTATTTTCATTATCATTATTTACGGCGGACAGGATAAAATATTCTTCTGTTTCAGACATTTTTCATTAAATCAAGATTTGTACTACGATGTAACTTTAAAATGTTTATTTATCTATGCCGATTTCCTTTTGATATTGGTACGCATACAACGTTGATGCCGGTACGCATACAACGACAGATCTCTATTCACATACGCGACGACTAATCACAATCGACCCGTATAGAAATGATATCATCGAGAGCGAATGACGAATCATCGGCGCTCGACTCTTATCTTATCTTATCTGCCGTAACCCACTTCCGTTGCATTTGTACGGATTTACACCGTAATTGCGCCTAAAGAAGTTTTACTTAAAAAACTATGCTAATAATAAATATAAATATATTATAAGCAAAATACTATTACTATTTCTAATAATTACATGTAAAAATCTTTATCATATACTGATCTATATTGTTGGTTCAAATATACTTATGTAATGTAAACTCCTAATTTCTAGGAAAAGGAAGTTCTGTTGAAAAATAAAGAAAAAATGATGGAAAAATGGATACGGGATAACTTTCCAAAACGATCGATAAATTATTCCAAATATGATAACAATGACAGAAATAACATCAAGAATTCTAGAATTCCTAGTCCTACCACAGTGTATGAGGTAATATTAGTTTGACATCTTACTCAGAACAATGCATGATTCATGAAAAATAAATAATAAATGCAACTAGTGGTGTATGGCATCGTGCCTTAAGGCAAACTACTGGAACTTCCCGTATCGTAAAGAAATATTCGAGAAATTTTAAACGTTTTCAAACATATTATTTCAAATACTATAACTTTCATTATTTTTGCTATCTTGTTATATCTAAGCAAATCAAATGTAAATAATTAATCAGTTTATCCCCAGAACATTAACAATCGTCATTTCATTTCGAATTCAATTTCAAAAAAATAGTTGCCTAATTAATTTACACATAATTGAAAAAGTGCACCCGTATAGTCACAGTCTAAACGCATTTGCAAACTAGCTGTAAGTGGAATTCTGTCTTAAGGCAATCAAGGCATCGTGTCTTAAGGCAAATTGCTGAAACTTCCCGTACCAAAAATTATTATTTTTTTTAAAAACGATTAACATTTTTGAAAAAAAATTACTCAAAAAAATAGACTTTTGAGAAACTATTAACTAGGCAGAAAATTAGATTTTTTTTAAAAAAAATGTTTTTATTGAAAAAAAAATGTTGTCTTTATTCTGACCTGATTGGAAATTCTGAACTTTTTTTCAAAGCAATCGTACTGCTTCAACTGCATGGAGACGAAATGTCAAAGCGCGTAAGCGCCGCGTCGCCGTCTAACGGATAAACATTGGTACGGAACCCATAGGAATGTAAACAAAATTTATACTTATTGTTAAAATCTCTATAAAATATCTGATAATTTGATGTGCATATTTCTAATGATCATTTTTGACCGCTAAATGGCTTTTTTTTACTTTTTTTATTAGATCTCCGAAACCGCCAGACCTGCCTTCATGACCAATTCTTCATTCTCATTCTTTTTTATTTTTATTTTATGCTTTCTTTTAAGACAATACCGAGCTGCTACAATATACAGGGAATAAAAACATAAAAAGGCCAGAAAACTAAGTAACAGAAGAAAAGATGTTGTTTTAAGGCCCATTCTGATTGATGAATAATTTATTTCGATAATTATTGTATTGTTTTTGTGATTATTCATTACCGATAATTAACTTCCCGTAGGGTGGTTATATTAATGGGCCGAAAATCTAAAATGAAAATTTTTGCATTTCTCGACGTTTTGAAGGTTTCTGAACATTTTGGTAAACCACAAAAAAAAATGGATGTGTGTGTGTGTTTTGTATGTCCGCATTCGTTTGTCCACGTTTTCGGGCGCACGGATCAACCGATTTGAATTGTTCAAAAAACATTCGATTCCTATTGATAGGGAAAAGAGCTGATTCGTTTTTGGCAAAGGCAGGTCCAGCCGTTTCGAAAATACGGAGATAAATATGTAAAAAATGGCAGTTTTTGAGAGAACTAAGCGTCCGATTTAGATGATTCAAATAACTTTCTGCTTGTCTTAACAAAATAATTGATTTTAGAAGAAAAATTTTTGTTCCAACTTTTTTTTTTTTTTTTAGTTTTTTGTATATCGAAAATAATTCAGATTTTATTTTTAATTCTGACTATAGTTCTAATATACTTTACAAATAATTTCAACTTTGCAATTCAGTTTATATAATTCTTATAAATATTAGACAATGTTACAATATTTATAATAATCTATTTGAAAACATTCAGTATTCCTCGAACATTTCGTTACGGTACGGGAAGTTCCAGCAATTTGTCTTAAGGCACGATGCCATAATTGCCTCAAGACAGAATTCCACTTACAGCTAGTTTTATTTAAAATCTATTAAATAATAAAGTAATATATAACTTATACAATTTTAGAAAAATTAATTTTATTTTGAACATATTGGAATTTTACGGAGCATATCTAATTTTTGTTAAATATACAGTATATTAGAGTCTAGTTACACATTTGAAATACCTCAATATCAATCACAGCAAAATATTATTTATATAGACAAATAATTCTCCATGCCAAAATATTTTGTTGCATTGCAATCATTTGTTTTTTTTTTACTTTAGGTAAAGAATGAACCCCCTTATCCATTCATTCTTCCTACAAGAGAATTATTCCACAGCCCTAACATAGATAAGAAAGGTGGTGGATTAGGAGACTACAAACATTTTACTGCAGAACTCTATCAGCAGCATGATATTGCCTTTAATAACAACAATGAAGAAAACTTGAAAAAATTGGAAGATTATCATAAATATTTGGACAGTTTGACTCATCAACAAGGGGAAGAAGTATACATAACTGGTAAGCTGTTAATAATTAGTATTTTACTGAAGAAACAATAATATATATATATATATTTTTAAATAAGTTCAATAGCATTCAAATCTGATAAATATATCTATGTATTACGTGTTTGATCTATATATGATATAATTTGTTCATATCTAAGTATTACGTGTTTGATCCAAATATGATATCTACTTCCAACTGTCAACTGATGTTTTTAAGCCAGTGATATTTGGGCATGAATAAACCAAATACAAGTCATTTAAAAAAATGACTATAACTCGGTTATAAATTATATCAGTTGTACATTTTATTTAATTATTTTTCACATCTAGTGTTTATGCGTATTGTTAACTTTCCGAAGAAGTTTGTTTTCATCAAAAAATTCGATTTGCTAATTTTGTTTTTGCGACGTTTTAAGCCATTCTGAATCGAATGAGACCAAATTTGGAAAAAGTATGTGTGTGCTTTTTTTTTGTATAGTTTATCAGCATCACTTCTCAGAGCTTATTCGCCTCAATGTCTCTTCCACGTCGTCCCGTAGAGCACCAAATCGCGGGCACACGAAGAAAACATGCTTAGCATCTTCGATTTCGCCCAAACAATATGGGCAATCCGGCGAGCTATCGTGTTTGAAGCGGTGTAGGTAGGCTCGAAAACAGCCGTGACTAGATAGCATTTGCTTAGTGTAATAATTTACTTCTTCATGCTTGCGACTTAGCCAAACTTTGATACTTGGAATGAGACGATGCGTTCATCTGTTCTTCACTGCGACATCCCACAGTTGCTGCCATTGGTCAATGCTGTTCTGCCGTTTTTCTAATCTCAACTTTTCAGGACTCAATTGTTGATGTCTTCTATGGTAAATTGTCCGTCTTTCCTGTGCTAAGACTAAGAGAGGTAGAGTTCCTGAAATAACGCACACTGCTTCCTCCGATATTGTGCGAAATGCGCAAGCAATTCTTAAAGCACTCAGACGATATATAGGTCCTGCCATTCTCCTTGATTTTTGAGTTTTGTGAGCATCAACCCATGTGTAGATACCATATGTCTGCACCGAAGTAACCACTGACGATAGTAATATCCTTCTGGTTTGTTTAGGGCCTCTGCAATTAGGCATCAGTCGTCCTAACTATTGACGCCTTAGCACTAACGTGTTCCACCTGTTGATTAAAATTCAAACGAGCATCAAGCATTACGCCAAAGTAACAGATGTGAGGCCTAGAACAGAGCCCTGCGGCACACCTCCTGTTGTATTATATTCTTCTGTACCATCGCGTGAATCGTACATTGGAATTCTGTCTGTAAAGTAGCTTGCGACTATATTTCAGAGGTATACTGGCACGTTCTTGTTACGGAGTGCATTCATAATGCAATCCGAGTTTGCAGAATTGAAAGCATTTTTTATATCCAAAGTAGCTACAAGACAGTACTTCTTCGCACCCCCCTTTCATCGGGTTCCAGCAATTGCTTCCTTGGCGGTATTAACTACCGAGTTTATAGCATCAATAGTTGATCGCCCTTTGCGAAAACCGTACTGATTGTCAGCTAGGATTGGGTCAACTACTGTATCTATTCTTTGGTGAATTATTCTTTCAAAAATTTTACCCGCTGTATCCAGCATGCATATCGGACGGTAAGCTGATGGTTTATCTTGTTTTACTTGTTTATCTATGGTTTATCTGGTGGTTTTTTTCCTTTGGAAAGAAGCACTAATCTTTGCTGTTTCCATTTTCGTTAAAAAACCTCATCTTTCAGACATGTATGGTACGGTGCCTCACTATTTCCAACCCGATGACAAGCTTCCATCAGTTCTTGCAGTGTTATAGGTGGAATATTATTCAGTTCTACATGTGTTACCTGGTAGTTTAAATTAGGTTGTCGTGGAAAAAAGTAGTTACTATTTTATTCAATAGTCGTGGGCAAGCTGGTGAAGGTATTGGCTGGCTTTTGAGGCGAGACATTACAATCTTATAAGGCCTTTTCCATGGGTTTTCCTCGACTTCATCCAAAAGTTCTTTCCCTAACTTTACTATCTTTGATAGCTTATTTAGTTGCCGACGTGCCTGTTTATATTCCAATACCAGTTGTGCAGAATTTATGAGACTATATCCCCGCTGAGAGATTCTTCTTTTCTTTATACACTCTTTACGAAAACAGCTGATTTCTTTAGCCCACCAGTGCACAGATTATCTTTGATTTATGCCATGCTTACGAGTCATACTGATATCACAGGCTTCGGTTATTTTCTTCATCAGCTCTCAAGTATGCTCATATGCGCATTCTGAAATTATAGGTTTGCAATTTAAGGCAACTCTCATGGCGCTTTTATAAAATGATTTTATTTTCCACCCAATGGCTTTAGATATCTTCACATGTCTTCTAATGTTTTTATTCGTTGGTATTTCCCAGGTGATTTCATTGTGGTCACTAGCAGTATAGATATCTAATACCCCCAATTGCAATTTCCTCTGACGAGGCTATTGCTAACAAAAGTAAGATCTATTATTTAGCTTGCACTGCCCTTGACAAAGGTTCGCTCATCACCGCTATTTAGTAAAACAACATCAAGTGCATTAAAGGCTTTTAAATGTGCTCTTGCATTAGTCTTCCTACTTTCCCAGTCTATCGCCCATGCGTTAAAGTCACCGGATATCGCTACGGGGTGGCGTCGTTTTGCATCCTCTACAAGACGATCTAAAAAATCAACAAAATCTGGCGAAGAAAGACTAGGTGGAGCGTAACTGCTGTATAAATGTATGCCATCTAATGATGCTGCTACAAATCCAGCGTTACTATTGTTAACAACATTCTGGAAACAAAATTTGCCACAGGACCAAATAGCAGCTTTGGTGGTACTGTCCGTTTCCCATGGCCAAGCAGTTAGTTGTTTGTAAGGTTAAAGTATGTGTGTGTATGCGTGTGTGTGAGCCATTGAGAAATACGGACATACAGTGAAAACATTACAAATTTGAAACAACGCATCATAAAAAAGCCGTTAAAGGACGAATTAAGGACGTTATCCAGAGCCATAGATGTCAGCTCTGCATGCATGTTTAAAATGTGGTGATGCTCATCCTACTTCTGCGTGTGAAAAACCAAAGAACACTCCAGCCTGCTGCTTCCTTTGCGACGGCGAACATTCCGCCAGCTATAAGGGTTGCCCGTTTTTTCCGAAATACAACAAAAACTCAACCAATTCGACTTCCCAACAACAGAATCCTTCGCTGCCAAACGTTACTAAAAACCATAAACGAATTTCCTACACCAATAAAACATCAGATCATTTGAGCTACTCACAAGTTCTAAAAACACAAAATCATGTAAATCAAGAAGTTTCCGTAATCACATCTGTAATCAACGACCTAAATTACGTAATGAAACAAATAATGCAACAAAATACAATGATTGTGGATATGCTATCGCTTGTAGTAAGTAAACTAAAATAATGGATAATTTATTAAAAATTGCTATTTGGAATGCCAATGGCATCTGCCAACACAGACGCGAAATTACTCACTTTCTTACTGAGCATAAAATTGACATACTGTTAATAAGCGAATCGCACTTGCCATATTGTGCTACATTCAACGTTCCTGAATGGTTTTTCCTATTTTTAACTTCGAGTAGAGAAAGTTATAGTAATCGCAAAAAACTAAAATGAAATTTTATATGAATCTTTATGTTTCAGGATCTTCTGAATATTTTGGCATAATTTAGAAAAAATGAAATATGTCTGTTTTTAACTTCCCGTAGGGCAAGTTATAGTAATCGCAAAAAAATCGAAAATGAAAATTTTTATATATCTTTACGTTTCAAAGGTTTCTGAACATTTTGGCATACCTTAGAAAAAATGGATGTATGTGTGTGTGTGTGTGTGTCTGTATGTACGTGTGTGTATGTATGTGCGGATACAAATTTTTGTCGACGATTTCGGGAACACGGATCAACCGATTTAAATAATTCAAAAAACATTCGATTCGTATTGATAAGGAGACGTGCTGACTAGTTTTTGGCAAAGGCAGGTTCCGAAGATACGGGGCAAAAAGTGCCAAAAACGTTTTTAAGAGAACGGAGCATCCGATTTGAATAATTCAAAAAAACATTTTACTTGTATTGACAAGATTAAGAATTGATCAAATTTTCATGAAGGCAGGTCTAGCGGTTTCGGAGATCTAATGATAAAAGTAAAAAAAATGCCATTTGGCGGTCAAAAATGATCGTTAGACATATGCACATCAAATTATCAGATATTTTATAAAGATTTTAACAATAAATATAATTTTTTTTATATTTCTATGGGTTCCGTACCAATGCTTATCCGTTAGTCGGCAGCGCGGCACTTGCGCGCTTTGACATTTCGTCTCTATGCAGATAAAGCAGTACGATTGCTTTGAAAAAAAGTTCAGAATTTCCAAAATATGTCAAAATGAAGAAAACATTTTTCTTTTCAAAAAAATTTTGTTCTCAAAAAAAAAATTTTTTTTTTCAAAAAAAGTAATTTTTTGTCAAATTTATAGTTTTTCAAAAATCTAATTTTTTCAAAGTAAATTTTTTTCAAAAATGTTAATTGTTTTTAAAAAAATAATGTTTGGTACGGGAAGTTCCAGCAATTTGCCTTAAGGCACGATGCCTTAATTGCCTTAAGACAGAATTCCACTTACAGCTAGTTTTTATTCTTATTCTTTTATAGAAGTGCGAAAAAAAATTTTTATAAGACACCACCATCGTTGATACTCTGAAGTTCATCATCCTACAGTAGATAACAATGGACGGTGGTGTGGAGATTTTTCTCACTAAAAATTACTTTTTTACCCTCTCCCCGAAGATGGTACAGAGAGGACTGGATTGGAACAGCGTTAGCATTACATCACCCAGTTCGTGCTTATTATAAACTTATTCCCGGCTACTGGTTTCATTCACTGATTTTATCTCTTAAAAAGTGCTGTGCATAAGCTGCTACATCTGATAAGTTTTCTTCTTGTTTCATCTTGTAGATCACAAGGCTTGAGGGGATTAACCTGGTGCCTATAAAGTCCTCGGTGTTGCTCCGATAGTCCTTCCACCGAGCACACTCAAAGAACGTGTGTTCAGCGTCGTCGATTTTGTTTGAATAGTATTTACACGTTGGTGTGCTATGCAAGCCTATCTTAATGTCCGAAATCCGTTCATCTGCCCGTCTCCCTGACTGTAATGGTTTCCTTTTTATTTTCCATTTTGCCTCCTTGGATTGTCGCCATTTCTTTTAGGATTGTAATGTTTCACTTCGCGTTGAAATCACCAGCTACGATGACTTCTCCGTCAAACCTGTCGATAGTGTCCTCTATGTTTGCCATTTTCTGGTGAAACACGCTAATCCCTTTATTGGGTAAAAGGTAGACGCTCACATAGTAGGTCGTATGGGTCTTAATCCTGACGAAGCCCACTCCGCTTTCGTTGTTATTGACAGTGATATCCTTCAAATTTATGTTTCAGATTGCTGCCGAGCCAGATTTATCAACAAACTATGTTTTATTCTGGATATTCAGATATTGTTTACATAGGAGACAGATGTCGATCTTGTCTTCAAAGATACGTTGACGCAGTTGAAAGTTATTCAAGTAACCTTGTAAAATGTTGTAAATACGTTGACTCATGATTACTCCCGTCACATTTGTAGCAACACTTGTTTCTGTCTGGTCTCGCACATTTATGCGGTTTATGTCCAAAAACAAAGCATCTAAAACAGTGGGCCACTTAGACAACTGGGCGACAGTTAATTCACTCAATTTTTATGTGAGCCTTATTTAGAGCCTTGATTGCTCTGGCCTCGTCTATCTCACAAAAGACCGCTCGTTGTGTTCTTGATGTGACTTTGGTCAGGTTCATTCGTCTAATTTCCAGTTTTGTCGTGAAGTCCCGGTTGAGTACTTTTCGAACATCATTTTCGGTATAGACTCCATCAAGGTCAATATGCTCTATCATCGACAGTGGTATCGGTGTTTTCATTGTTTCTATGTTTTCAGTTGCTGCCCTTATCGCGACTGCAAAGGCTGCACTGTCTTTGGACTTCGGACTCATTTCAAGTAATACTCCTCCACATCTTGTCTGTTTGATAAACTTTATGTCCATTTTATGTCCGTTGAGGTTTACCTTGAACTCCATAAGAAGATCAGCGTAGTTCGTCCTTCAGCTGGTTGAACCAGAACATGGTTCTACGTTTCCTCCGGGCAGTCTTACAATGGCTGTTTGTGTGCTTACTACTGTCATTAGATTCGGCTTTACCGGTTTCCGGTTTCTCAGTTTTCTTCGTGATTGTTCCTGGATCCCGCGCCCCTTTCTTCTTCGATTTTCGTCGAGCCACTTCCGTCCAGTGGTTATCTTCAGCCTGGGACTTCGGGATTGGTGTCTGAGTTACAGAATAGTCATCCCGGGCTAGGTCTGTGTTATTTGCACTGTGATTGCGACAGCTTTGGGGGCTGCCGTACTTTTTTTTAGCCAGGCTATATGCTGTGTCAATCGACCTGATTAGCTCCTTTATTATACTGTAAACATTGTTCCTATCTCTGACATAATAGTATGAAATCGGATGCTATATTCTATCGAAAACTCGATTTTTATTTTCTGCACTCTTTGCTTCGTATCTCCGAAATGGCTGGACCTGCCTTTTCCATAAACTAATCAGCACATCTTCCTATCAATAAGAATCGAATGCTATTTAAACCATTCAAATCGGTTGATCCGCGCGCTTGGAAACGTGAACGAAAAATTGTATCCATACATACATACAGGCACACTCACATCATTTTTTTTTCTAAAGTATGCCAAAATGTTCAGAAACCTTCAAAACGTGAAGAAATGTAAAAAATTTCAATTTTTATTTGTGGGCGATTACAATAACTTACCCTACGCAAAGTTAAAAAAAGATTCAGTTCAAAATCAAGTTAAAAATTAAAACATTCTAGATCCTTTCCCCATGAAGCAATGCCTAACGGCGGTTTCCGTGGGGACCAGAGGCAAGGACAAAACGGAGCTTTCAGTCGGTATTATACCAGAGCGGTATTGAGTCCGACATACCCAGACAAAAGACCAGTCTGGGATGCAAAAAGGCATTTCCTTCGCTATACAAAAAAAAACACATGCACACAACACATACGCACACACGCAACACATAGGCCACACTAGATGTCAGAAACGCTTTCAACTGCGAAAACTGAGACTGCATTATGCAAGCTCTTCAACCTACTAGGTTTCATGTGTAGAGTAGTGGCAAGTAAATCGCTGGATGGTTACTGTTAAATTTCAACTAGCTAAACAGAAGACGGAAGCAGTACTCAACACCAGCAGAAAAATCATAGAGACTATAAAGTTGAAAGTCGGTGAACAAGAAATCATATCACAACCTTATAATGGATACTTGGGAGTGATGCTTGACGCACATCTAAATTTTAAAGAGCTAGTACTACAAGTAAGTGACAAAGCATCAGTAGTGAGTTCCTTGCACGATTGATGCCTTATAGCGGTGCACCAAATCAGAGCAGAAAACTTATACTTTCATCAGTGGTTGCCTCGGTGCTCACTATGGAGTACCAATTTGGGAAGACGCACTAGAGTTCTAAGAAGCATGGAGAAAAGTTGGTCTTGTATGCCGTCTGAGTGCCTTACGAGTGATATGCGGCTTCCGCACAATATCTTAGAAAGCGGTGTGTGTCATTGCTGGGACTTTGTCTCTTAGAGTCCTAGCTGAGGAAAAACGAAACCTTTATCATTGCAGGTCATTGGCACTAAGCGCTGAGGATCAAACCAAAAAACGTTGAAACAGCATAACTACAGTGGGATGTCGCCGAAAAGGGTAGATGGACCACGAATGGACCAATTCGATCAGAAACATTAATGGAAGCAATGCTTACATCAGAAGTAGCCTGGAGCGCCAGTAGTACTAGTAGTAAAATAGCGAGTGAAAGATGTATGACATCTTAGGTATCAGAAGAAAAAGCAATTGCTAGATCTTCCCTCCACGAAGTAATGGTTAACGGCGGTTTCCGTGGGGTTACAAGGCATATATTAACAATGTTGAGTCCGACATATCCAGACAACTTGCGTCTATTGAATATGTAAACGCATTGCCTTTGCAATATAAAACCAAAAACACACATACAACACATACGCATACACACGTCAAATTTTTCTGAGGTATGTGAAAATGTTCAGAAACCTTTGAACGGTGTAACTCTACTACTCTATGGGAAGTTAAAAATACAGAAAGTTACAAAACATCATTTTTTGTTTATTTTGTATTTCAAAACGAGCAAAGAAAAAAAATGCTTGAAAAATGGAAAGAAGAATGTTATAACTAATCTACGTTATAGTTGTATTTTAAATATCTATGTTATTTTTCAGAAGTAAATAAGCCGAATCACAACAACTATCCTATATTCTCATCGTATTATGACAGTAAGCCATCAGTTGACAATAGTAAAAACTATTTCCATAAGGCACATACATCGCATATTCAGGAGCCATTTAAGCATGGGGACATTGATATAAAAGAAAAACACAAGTAAGTGATTAACTAAAGTGATATATATATATATATATATATATATATATATATCGACATGAGAAAACCGCGAAAATTTTGAAGACTTTCGAAAATAACTACTTTATTTAGTACAATGTTATTGATATTGAAGGAAAAACTATATTAAACATCATCTGGCTGGAAACCTTTTCTAGCTATTGTTTCTTCAGTAAAATTTATTGAAATGATGCAGAATTGCAATACGCACGAATAACCAAAATAAAAAATCCACAATATATATTGTAATATTTTTTTACAGGGCTGCAATATGGAAAGATATTAGTCATATTTTAACGGCTTTAGTGCCCATAGGAATATTAATTTCAGCGCTGAAACCAAACGTACTACGGGTTGACTCAAATTCGACTAATATGAGGTAACATTAGATTTTATATTTAACATGGAAATTTGTTTATTTCAGTGTTTACGAAAAAACATATGATGTAAGTAAAATTTTAATCTTTGTGTTTTAAGAGAATTTTAACAATCCATGAATAGTTAAAATTTTTCAATTGTTATAATTCTGAAAAAAGTTAATTTGTAGAGAAAAATGTTTGAGAATTTATTAATATAATCAAAATATTTGGACAATTGAAAGCAACAATTAAAATCTTCTTTTAACAAATAATTTCATAGACTAGATAATATTTAATACGCCACATGAAACCATAGATTCTCTATGTAATTATTTATTTCGTATCTCCGAAACTGAAGGGCATATTTTTACCAAAAACTAATAAGTAGGTTTCCTCAACAATACGAATTAACTGTTTTTCAAACAGAGCGGTCGATCCGTGTTCTGAAAATCGTCTACGAACATTAGTATCTGAGTCAAAGAGAAATATTTAATGCTTGAGATTTTAGTCAAATAAGCCTGTTACAGTATCAGTGTTACTACTTGGCCGTCTTTGCCTTAATATGAATTTATTATGTATATAACCAGATACTAAATTAAAAAAATTGTTGTATTAAAAATTGTACTATTGTAAAGATGCTCATCACTATTTTACGAAATATGATCCTCAAAAAACCAATTATAATATTACCATAAATTTTGCAGAATATTAATTATGTTAGTATTGTAATAAATTTATATACCAACTATTTCTCAGCTTGAACAACGAATTTTTAATCTCAAGTAATTGTATTGTTTATATCGCTGTTTTTTCAATCACAATTAGTAACAAATGCAGAGAAATTCGAAAATAAAGATTTATTGGATTTGTGTTTAGTATAAATATGTTTTTGCAGACCTACTATAATGCCCACAATGATGCCACTGCGATACAGATATATTGAACAGTTCGTCAATAGTTTCAAAAATGAAAATTTCGAAAAAGATTTTACAAAATCTTTCAAAAATAAATCTGCGTGCGAGTTGTATGAGCTCTGTATCTTGGCCACAAGCGATTCTGATACCAAATTTGATGACGGCCAAAAAATAATTTACAGACAATTGCTCAGGGCTGTGAAAAGGTAAAAAGAAATTTAAGAGCTTTATATATTATGAATAATTGCAGACTATTGTGAAAACTATATATATATATATATATATAGAGAGAGAGAGAGAGAGAGAGAGAGTCGACAAAGGAAATTGGAGGTTATTTATGTGTTCTGTGAGCATTGTTTTATTCTGATTCTTATTTTTTAATTATTTCTGTGTGTATTTTTCTTAAGATTTGTGATACTAATAAGAGGGTGTTCTTTAAAAATTCCTTATGAGACAATAGAATAGCATGATCTATTAAGTTAATAATGGTAGTGGATCACAATACACCACATTAATATCTTTAACGAAAAAAGTTTGGGAACCTCTTTGAATGGTATAATGCAAATATTAGATTGTCAAATTTTAGTATTGAAATATGACTTCAAAAAACCATTAAATTCAAATAAATTTGAATTCATTTCAAATTATCCGTTACAACTTGTTCTTACTGATCAATTAGTAAGAACAAGTTGTAATGGATAACACATAATGCACGTATTTTAGATTTGCATACTTATATATGAGTATAAATACTATAATTTTTTTAGTACTCCTGTACAGACTTTAGAGATGTTGGGTCTAAAAGAACTTTTCGATAACATCAAAAACAACAGTTGTAATAGGTACCAGTGCAATCAGTATCAGATAAATAAGAATTAAAATAAAAGATGGCAAGGTAAGGTAAACACTATTGACAATTTAAATTTTATATATATAATATTAAAATAAATGTAAAAAAATTTATGAACTGTTTGTTGTAATGATATTTAATATTAAATTATCTAAATACTTGTACATTAATATTAATTTATTATTGAACTAATAAATAATTATTATTAAATATTTTAATTATTCATTATTTATTTGCTGTCCATGCCCTAACTAACAATTGATATCAATAGTTTCAAAATTAAATGTATTTAGTTGGGCATATTGAATATATTTAGTGGTGCCTTAAGACAAATTGCTGGAACTTCCACCAAAAAATTAACAATTTTAAATAAGTTTATTTTTGTAAACTTGATTTTTGAGGAATTTGAAATTTTGCCAATGATTCGTCATTCGCTCTCAAATATTTCAAGTATTATAAATATTTTCAATGCTATTATAAATATATAATTTGTAATTTATCATTATATAAATGTGTATAATGGTTGACACGGGGTATTCTAATATTGTCTAGGGTTGACACCAAGAAATGTGTGCATCACCATATTACTAATAAGCATTATTCAAAATTGTTATATGATGTATTTATTAACAATTGAACTTATGGGTTCTATGAGCTGTTGTGATTAATATCTTACAAACTACGTTTGTTTTTTATTACAGATGGCAACCCAAACAGTTGTCACATCTCTGTATGATAAATTTTTTTTACAATCTCTGTAATAGGGCAAGTATGGTGCAACAATGCCGGGTGAGGGCTATTTTCACTTGGAAACATATTGCTATTTATATTTCCACGTGAAAATCGTTGTCACTGTTGCCTGACAACAGGCTGCTCGAAGTGGGTATCGAACCCGGGACCTCTGAAACAAGTCCCATCGCTCTCAACCGCTTACCTACGGGCGAGCCCACCATCCTGTCATAATACAAAAGTTTTACTTCAATCGCGTGAGAACCTTAGGCGTACTCTTTTTATATTTATAAACATTTCATTATTAATTATGCCATATTACTAATAAACATTATTCAAAATTGTTATATGATGTATTTATTTACAATTAAAATGGCATCCTGTGATAACAAAAAAGTTTTACTATTTACTTCAATCGCGTGTGAACCTTACGCGCACTCTTTTTATATTTATGAACATTTTATTATTAATTATACAATTTTACTAATAAACTGTTGAAGTTTGATACTAAACGCTCTGTGTCTACTATGTATATGTTTATGTATATATGTTTGTCTTTTGTTTTATGTCAAACAAGTGATTGTTAATAATATTTGTAATGCATTTTTTTTTTCAATTCAAAGACTATATATTTCAATATATAAAAGTATATACATTGCATATTATAACATGGGTTTATTACCCGTAGGTATTGTATCCTTCATTGGATTTGGTTTTTCAAACAATAATTAAAGTATATGTAAAACTTTTTGACAAATCGTGTGGCAAAAAAGGGGAAAGAAACTTTTTCTCCCAAAAAAAAAACCACAAAGCAATATTTATAATAATAGTTAATTATACAAATAAAAAGAAAAACAAAAATAAAAGATTTATTCTCATCCAAGTATCAATTACCGCTATGGGTCGATCAGTATATATTTTGGCATGGCGTGATTGCCATACCAAATATCGTCTCTTGTGTATTGGCCGAGGCCCGCGATGTTAACATTAGGATGATCCCCACATTTTAGATAAAAATTCTCAGTGAGCTTTTTTATAAAGTCTAGTATGGTTGGTAAGTCAGTCTGTTTGTGTATGTATTTTGAAGAGTAGTAATGTCTAGTCAGTGGGTTCCTTATTTTGTTGAGTACGAGTCGTAGTGTCTTATTTTGTAATGTCTGTAGTTTTCGTAAGTTAGTCTTAGTCGTCGCGTTCCATGCCGTATGCGTATGTCAGTATCGGTCTTATTAGTGTCAAGTAAAGTGTTCGCTTGTTCTTCACGCTTAGCGGGCTGTTCTGGTTCAAGAGAGGTCTCAGTAGATTCAACATCCCGTAAGCCTGTCCAATTTTTGTATTAATATGTTTTGTGAAGCTGAGTCTATGGTCCAGGGTCACACCAAGATATTTGACATCCTTCGACCACTCAACTTCACAGTCCAATACTTTAATTTTGTCCAAGTCAGTCAGTCTAGTCATGGCATTTTGGCTCTTTGTAAATAAAATTGCCTCCGTCTTTTGCGGATTGATTTTAATCTGCCATTTGTCAGTATATTTCATCAGCTTGTCTATGTGTGTCTGTATCTTTGTAGTCAGTAGCGTCGGTGATCGTGATGATTTGTATATGGCAGTGTCATCAGCAAACGTCAGTAACGTTGTGTCGGCGTCAGTGGGTATGTCGTGAATGTAGACGTTAAACAAGGATGGTCCCAGGATCGAGCCCTGCGGTACTCCCGCCGTCACTTGTTTAACCGTCGAAAGTCCGTTGTCTACTTGTACAGTGAAGTTACGGTCTGAAAGGTATGAGTGTAAAGTTCTCGTTATGTACGGTGGAAAGTTGAGTTGGATAAGTTTATGTACAAGTCCGTCCATCCAGATGGTGTCAAATGCCTTCTCAAAGTCGAGTAACACCAATCCGGTATGGTTTCGTCTGTTGAAGTTGAGTACTGTATTTTCTATGAGTTTTGTCAGTGGGTGTAGTGTAGAGTGTCGTTTTTTGAATCCGTATTGTGTGTCAGGTATAATTTTGTTGTGTCTTATGTGTTTGTTAAGTCTTTTGAGTAGTACCTTTTCGGCTACCTTACTCATTGTGTTGAGGAGGCTGATCGGTCTGTAGTTCTGTGGTATGTCTGGCTGTTTCCTTGGCTTCACTATTGGAAATATGATGGAGGTTTTCCAAGAAGCGGGAAAGCAACCTTTTGTCATTAGTCTATTTATTATGCGCGTAAGTAAAATGTAGGCGTTTGTCGGCAGTTGTTTAAGTATTATGTTTTGTAGTCCGTCCGGTCCTGGTGCTTTTCTGTTCGGTAATTTTTTAACTATTGTCTTTATTTCGGAAACTGTGGCAGGGTCTATTCGTAAGTCTTTGTCCCTGTGGAGGTCAGTGAAGTCTTGAATTGTCTCGTGTACGTCTTGTTTCAGGTCTGCGTTTGACATATTGGCATTTTGTTTATGTATGTTTTCAAAGTTTTTTGCCAATATTTCCGCCTTGTCTGCTGGTGTCGTTGCGTAATTATTGTCAGTTAATTTGAGTGGAGGTATGGATGTTGGTTTTTGCGTCAGTCTTTTTGCTGTCTGCCAAATTTTGTGTGGGTCAGTATTTATGTTCTCGAGTCTTTTGGTCCAAGTGCTGTTTCGGTGGTCACGTATTTCGTTGGAAATAATTTTTGTCAGTCTGTTAACATGTTCCTTGAGTAGTCTGTCACCGGTACGTTGCCACAGTTTCTTTGTATGATTTTTAAGTTGTATTTTCAATAAAATGTGTTCTGGCAAGTCGTTAGCTGGTGTTGTTCTTGAGTCTAGTGTCGGTATAGTCTGTTGTACGGCGTCTGTGATTGTCAGTGTAAGGTGTGTTACAGCCTCCTCAATGTCAGTGTTGGTATCGATTGGCATAGTGTGTCGTGTGTTGTATGTGATGATGTCTCTGAAAATTGGCCAGTTGGCTCTGGTGTAATCTAAAAATTTGCGTTTGGGAGTCTGGTCGACGTCTAGTCTGTCTGAAATGGTCATGAAAACTGGATTATGGTCGGAGTTGAAAAGTGTTCTTGTTATGGGTTCGGATGTTACGTGTAGATTTTTTGTCAATGCCAAATCGATCGTACTGCGGTGGTGCGTCTGTACGGTGGCGTATCTGGTCGGCGTGTCAGGATAATGTAGTTGTGCGTCTGTGGTGTTGTGTTCGGTCAGGTATTCGTAAAGTCTGTTTCCGTTCGCGTTGTTGAAGTTACAGTTCCAAGATGTGTGTTGTGTCTCGTTAATCAGTACTATGTCCAGATCGTATTTTGTTATCGTCTGTCTCAGTTCGTCAATGTTGTTTTTAAGTCCATTAGAATTGAAATGCATTATTTGTAAGTCTTGCGATTGGTTTATGGTGATGATGTAAGAAAGTTCAAAATTGTTGTGTATTTGTCGTTATAAGTCATGTTTGTGTTTAGTGTTTTTGTCAGTTTGTATAGCTCACTGAAAAAAGCTTTACCTGGGGATCCGCAAATAGCTTCCTGATCTCGCCCATAGCAGTAAAGAGTCCTTCCGGAGTGTTGAGATCTGGATCTGGCTGGTTGGTTGTAAACTCGACCGTTGATGGTGTTGGCCGGATCGGTGCTGGTCTTGGTGATGGTGAAGGCCAGGCCGGTGATAGTGTGGACTGGAGCGGAGGTCGGTATGATGTCCGTGGGACAGGGAGTTGAGGGTAATCAGGTTTGAAGTTAGGGCCGGTGTTTGTCGGATTTAGAGCTGACGAGAAACTTCTTGTCAGTGGCATTGGTGTTGGAGCTGGCGCATATACTTTTCTTCTCTTGAGAGTATCGTTTTCCTTCATCTCAATGAAATTAAGGAGTGCGGAGCACTGAGAATAGTTCGCCGGGTGTTCTTTCTTACAATTGACACACATCGGTGCCTCGGTTAGTAGTTTCTTGCACGCACCTGGCGCGTGCATCTCGAGGCACTTTATACACCTGTACTTCATATCGCAGGTGTACGATGTGTGTCCAAAATTCAAACAGTTGTGACACTGTAGAGCCCTATTTTGTGACTTGTATGTCTCCCAAGAGAAGATGTGCCCTCCAATGTTACTAATTTGCTTCAGCTCCGACATGTCTTGATCTTTCTCCAGAGAGACAATGTATATGGGCAGCTTATGTTGGCTGCCATCCGATAACTTTCGTTTGATCTGTATCACTTGTCTGACTTTAATTCCTTTCAATAAGAGGTCTTCGCAAACTTCAGCTTCGGGTATCGAAGGATGAAGTCCAGTCATTGTAATTTTCTTCGGCAAATCTTTTCTCATCGAGTATGTGTAGAATTGGTAATGGCATTCTCTCAATACCTTTTTAACTTGCTCGTGTTCCTGGATTGTATCTGTAAAAATTTTGTGTAATTGCGTGTTGAAAAACTGATATCTAAATTGGATCTTAGTTGTGTCTCTGATGTACTTTATTGTTTTCAATTCTAAGTTTGCCTTGATGATGATGGGTGGTATTTTCTCAGGTGTTTTGCTTAACTTGTTCGGTGATTCTCGATTGCCAGACTCGGATGGCTGCTGTCCAACATTTCCCTCTGGTTCCTTCTTCTTAGCTCTCTTTCTCCGTGACACTTTTCTATATTCGTTCAACTCCCTGTCTGTATCCATGTCCGATCGGTCCGATAGTGCATTGAATTTGTTTTTGAGGGCACCGCTGGTCTGCACCTCCATGCTCATTTTGATCTTCTTCCCAGGCTTCTGCCTGGGAATATCCTTGGGCTCTTCAATATACTCGGCACTGATTTTAAGAAAATAAATAAAAAGTACTTAAACCAAATAAATTTAGAAAAATCACTTTCTAAAATGCGCTTATACTCTAACCATTACCAACACCGACCCAGTGTTTGGAAAGAGGAGTCAGCAAAAGGCACGTTCACCTTTAAAATTTAGAACACTGAACAAGGTGTATATTACCTTGTAAGTATTAAGCCCGGTGCCTTTAAAAAGGCAAGATTTAGAATCAATTCCGGACTTATTACTTATTTCACAAAATCTATTGACACTTCACTGAAAAACAAATGACAATCTCTGATAACTAGGTATCAAGTCCTTTTTTTTCGTGAACCTATTTGTAATGCATGTGATTAGTTAAAGAATATATAATCAGTCAGTCTGTTTTTATCCTTCTGCATAAACGATTGTATTATTATTCACATAAACTTTTAACATAAATTCTACAGGTTATGGGCCCAGATCCCATGTTTTTAAAGTTTATTGAATAACAATTTAGTGCTTTTTTAATCATTATGTCGTCGGGATACTTGGTGAATGTACCGAAGTTAAAAGGACGTGAAACATATGACCCTTGGGCGTTTGCAGCAGAAAATTTTCTAATCTTAGAAGATTTAGCAGAATGCATTGTAGAGCCAAAGCACGGGGCAGCACGGGAAATTGATGTGATCAAGGATAAAAAGGCGAGAGCAAAATTGATATTAACATTAGATACAAGTTTATATGTACATGTAAAAGAAACAAAAACCTCAACCCAGCTATGGTCAAAATTAAAGGCAATGTATAGTGATTCAGGTTTCACTCGGAGAATTAATCTCTTAAGGACATTAATTTCTACTAGAATAATTAATTGTGAATCAATGAGCTCATATGTCAATCAAATAATAGAAACAGGGCAGAGATTGAGGGGAAATGGATTTAATATTGATGATGAGTGGATAGGCTCTTTGCTCTTGGCAGGATTGCCGGAAAAGTTTTCGCCGATGATTATGGCGATTGAGCATTCCGGTATAGCCATTGCAACGGACGCAATAAAAACGAAGCTGCTGGACATAGGAAGCGATGTTGCGGTTAATAATGATGAGAGCGCCTTTGTAGCAAAACAAAATGGCAGGTACAAGCAGCGCCAAGATTCAAACTCCAATAATTTTGATACTAAAAAGGAAGTTAGGTGTTTTTAATGCAAACGACTTGGCCATTATAAAAATAAATGTCGTTTCAATACTGTGAATAATGAGCCTGATAAAAATGCATTTAACAGAGTTTTTTCAACTGGTAGTTACAATAAAACAGATTGGTATGTTGATTCTGGAGCCAGTATTCATCTTGTGAATGACAGTAAGACTTTAAGAGAATACTACAAGAAACCTGATGTGCAGGAAATAAGGACAGCTAACAATATGCAAATGAAGGTAGTGTCTTGTGGCAGCGTTTCTCTTAGGACAGAGATTTATGGTCAAGTTTATGATGTTGAAGTACAGGATGCTCAATATTTACCACAATTGTCAGCTAATTTATTATCTTATCTGTTAGCGCTCATACCAGAAAGGGTAACAGGGTTGTATTCAATGATAATAAATGCAAAATTCATAGCAAAGATAACACTTTGGTTGCAGTGGCGGAACTTACAGGTGGAGTATATAAACTCATAACAAAAAATATTAATTGTTTGTTAGTTACAGATCCTAAGTCAGGAAATATATGGCATAGACGGTTAGGACATATAAATAAAACAGATTTGTGTAAATCGAGTAAAGGCTTAGCGAAAGGACTCACCATATCCGAGAAGGCAACATCAGACATAAATAATTGTATAGTTGGTTGTAAAGGAAAGCAAACTAGATTGCCATTTAAACACAAAGGATCAAGAGCAGTAAAAGTACTGGAAAATATTGAATATGTGCCTAGCAAGAACCCAATAGAATCAGTAGTGAACAATGTTTCAGTGTGGGTTAATGAAATGCAGCATGTAACGGAAGAAAAGAATCAAAATGCTGGCAGTGATCATGAACAAAATGTTATAGAAACAAGAAAGTCTAAAAGAAAAAGAAAGTATGCGTGTAACAATTTTCAGAGACCGAGTGCATGGCAGTGACAGGTGCTTCCAAAGAAGCGATATACTTAAAAGGTTTGTTAATGGAATTAACCGAAATAGATGAGAATGTATGTTTTTGCATTGATAACGAGTCCGCGTGAAAACTCTCAAACAATCCAGTTTTTTAACAAAAGGTCAAAACACATTGATGTAAGACATCATTTCATCAGGAAGCAATTGCAGATGGTGTAATCGATCTGAAGTATGTGCAGACAATAGATATGCCTGCTGATATATTCACGAGGTGTTTAAGTGTACATAAACATTTGAAGTTTTTAAAGCTGTTAGGTATGAGTACACAAGTTGTTTAGTATTCGCTCCGAGCGTGACTGCAGCGCCGTATTAAATATGAACTAATTGGGGGTATCAGTGTGTGGTTTTCATGGGTTTTACATGTTTGTTAAAGAAAAAAGATATTAAATAATTGTTATAAATAATAATAAACAAGATACAGTAATAATGTGAACGCTGAATGTTTATTGAAATTATTAAATTTACTTCAACGTACTTAAAACATAGTTAAGTATAATGATTAATTAAATAAAGAAATGCAGTAAATAATTTTAAGGTTAAGTGCCTCAAAGCTTATGTCATAATCTCGGAATAGTTCTTAATAAAAACAATATAATAATGATAAATAGTATTTTATCAATAGAATAAGTAAATAATAAATTAATTTACTCATTTTTTTGGTCAAACTAAAGACTTAGACACTATTATAAAGACATAATTTAGACATTATTATAAAGACAAGACCAAGTTGACAAGTAGGTAGGACTCAATACCTCGACCGATTCACTGCAAATGCGATCATAGGGCTTGGGAACCCACGGTGATCCATCAACACTACAAATATATATTTCGCATTATTTCAGCATTGTATTAATTAAACTGTTTGCAAAATAAACATTTTTTCGCTATGTGATAACTTTTATTTTTCTTTTAATCATAAAATTACAATTATTATATAATAAAATGTAATTAATATATAGATAATAGTTATACATAATCAATATACAATATATAAATATGTATTTTTCATTATTTCAGGCTTGTATTAATTACATTGTTTTACAAAACATTTTTTTAGTAAGCATTAAATTTTGATAATACAACAATTTATTGACTTATAATTTTTCTTTTTCTAAACATAACAATTTTACAACTATTCATAATACTCCAAATTGTATTTTTATAACAATAAGGTTATGATACTTACTTTATTCTTCTAACCGCTGCGATCCACTTTTCCCGTTGATTTTCTTTCCACTTAGCTGTAGAAAATGTATAGAATTTGCAGTCACTTTTTCTGCTGGTATTTCTACAACCCACTACACAACAGACATGGTGGTTTATTTTTAATTATCTTATTTAAATTTGAAATAAATAAATATTTTATGTGTTTTTGTTTAAAATTTTGTTTATAATAGCCCCTTTTAGTGCTCCAAGTTAGCCACTACGAACGCTTCGGTCGATTTGACTTCCCCTTCCATGCCTTCGCACATAGCCTATAGTGGGGGTGTTGAAGTTTGATACTAAACGCTCTGTGTCTACTATGTTTATGTATATATGTTTGTCTTTTGTTTTATGTAAAACAAGTGATTTTTAATAATATTTGTAATGCATGTGATTAGTTAAAGAATATATAATCAGTCAGTCTGTTTTTATCCTTCTGCATAAACGGTTGTATTATTATTCACATAAACTTTTAACATAAATTCTACATAAACATTATTCAAAATTGTTATATGATGTATTTATTAATAATTGAAATGAAAACCTGTGAAAACAAAAAAGCTTTATTTCAATCGCGTGTGAACCTTACGCGCACTCATTTTATATTTATGAACATTTCATTACTAATTTTAAATGCTATGTAAAAATATGTTTGTGTTATATCTGAAAACATATTTTGTGCTTTGTATGTTTTATTCTCATTTCCAATATAAGAAATTATTCAGATTTTCTTATTTTAAATTACGTATACGAACCATATCTAGGAATAATACCAGCGGTTAATTTATATACTGTACAAGTGCTGTCATCTTCAGATCGCTGCATAAATTAAATGGAGGTAACGTCAAATGGCCTGAGGTAGCGATCTATTTATGTTTATTTATCTATGCTGTGGACAATCTTTGCCTGCACTGACAGATTGACAGTCTCTCTGCTCACTCACTCTATGGGCGTTCTGAAACATATATACTGTCAATAGAGCGATTGCATCTGTCATTGGTTGCTTCATAAGTCACATAGTCTAGGAAAGTCAGAACATCGTAATTTTATAGTTGTATAGTTCTGAAAATAAATTAATTTTGCAAGTTGAAAATGGCACATTCAGCTATAAAAGGAAAACTGATTTCTGTTATTGGAGATGAAGTAAGTTCATACACAATTATATTATTTTTCACTATAGCTTCATATCATATGATAATGTCATGTGATTTTTCTTAAAAGGACACTTGCGTAGGCTTTCTACTGGGAGGAGTTGGCGAAATCAATAAAAATCGACACCCAAATTTCATGGTAGTTGATAAAAGCAAGTATATGATTTAATTAAATACCTCATATCACAATAGTTTTAAATTGTTTGCAAATCTAATCAAGTATATTGTTTTTATAGCTCGGTGGTTATTATTTTATTATGACTAAATACAACTTGTTTCTAAAATAGATACTCCTGTCAGTGAAATAGAAGAATGCTTCAAGAGATTTTTGAAGCGTGATGATATTGACATAATACTGATTAACCAAAATGTTGCTGAATTAATTCGTCATGTAATTGATAATCACACATCTCCAGTGCCTGCAGTGTTGGAGATTCCTTCTAAGGATCATCCCTATGATGCATCTAAAGACTCAATTCTAAGACGAGCTAAAGTAAGTTTTGTTTTGTTCTTACAACTTTCTATTATCTACTTTAATTATACTCATTAAAATTGTATTTTTAATAGGGGATGTTTAGTGCTGATGACATGGTTGCTTAAATGTTTCTGCCAACTAAAGCAGATGGTACCTCTTATGTTAAAACAACTAAAGATTGTATTGTTCTAGGCATGTTATTCAATTGTTATTATTTCTAGAGCATTTTATGTCATTCCAGATGTAATATATTTAAAATAAATGTATTTGTTGAAAAGAAATTAGTAAGTTAAAGATAATTATTTGTCATTATTGCATGTATGGATATAAATAAGTTAGTTTGTATTGTAATTATAAGTGGACAGAGAATATTTATTCTTTTCATAGAAGCTTATCGATTATATATAATTAAAAATTACACCAGGGCCTATTATCTCAGAATAAAATTCGTGTTCAGAAGAGTTACTTCGGGGTCCTATGGTAGTTGCAAATTTAGTGCTAGTGAATTGATGAAAAAGTATTGTCAAATGTTTTGTGTTGGTTACTAAGAAACGCCAGTGTTTATTTTGTGTCAGTTGACAAAACGTTTTTCTTCTGTTCCTTTATGTTTGTACATTTGTTAATAAAGACTTCATTATCAATTGCTCTCAAATATAGCACTTTGACAATATGAATAGAACAGCTTCGAACTCAGATACAGGATATAATTATGTACTACCTAGGGCATTGACAGATTGGTCTAATCATATTAAACTTTAAGGAAAGTGACCAGTTCTAGGAAATTATGTAAGTAATCAAGTAAGAGCTTCTACAAGAAAGACATAATATTTAGAAATCTTCCAGCTGTTTGAAATTGAATTACCACTTTACACAGATCTGAATATACTTAGAAAAAAATGATTGCTTAAGAATGTCAAATTTTGCACAGGATAATTATGAGTTAATGAGAGTTAAGAATGACAGACGATGTAATGAACTAACACTATTATGCATTATTCACTAAATTTTACTAAATGTTTATATTAGGAAGTTAAAAAACTGTGAAGTTATACCAGTATATTATGTATCATGCATGTTTTTGTTGATTTATATTTCGATTTAATTGTATATCTATTATAATATATAACACTGGATGTATTATGTGGGTGTTTCACATACCCGATTACTAAAGTTTATTAATTTTCATTTCAAATTTTGCGCCATTATTTAAATGCCAAAAGCAGCGCCTTCGCGTTTGAGCGGAGGACCCTCTAAGTATCTCTTCTGAACGTAAAAATCGGGAGAGAGAAACGTCTTTATGAATATACCATATTCTAATATTGTCTAATTACCCTATTCTAATATTATAACTCTGAGTCTTTCATATGACGGTTCACACACATGGCTCTAAACACCGGTTAAAATAGTGCTGAAACGAAGAAAATCACTGTACCAACATTAAAAAAATCAGATATTCTTCTGAGCAGGCATACCAATAGCAGAGCATTTAAAACCCTAGCTACCCTAGACAATATACTAATATAGACGTTTCTCTCTCGCGGTATTTGCGTTCAGAGAGCTAGGGAAAGTCACGACCGCAATATTGGGTGATGGCGCTTTAATCGCATGTCGCTCGGCAGCCTCGTGCTCCAAAATGCATTCAAATTAAAGCGCCAAAATTAGAAATAAAAGAAAATTGTCAATTTTAAAAATAATTTATTTGTATTTAAATTTTGCATTACAATAGTCTTATATTGACATTGTTATACAATAACAAAACATACCAAACAATAATACATATATTAAAATTGATATCAAAGTAAATAGCAATATGTTGCAACAAACATATTTATTTAAAAAAAAGGAAAAATAAAAAGATTAACGAATTACAGGATTCCTGCCTTCAAGTGGATAATCATTCATTATTCACTACCAATAATGTTGTGAACACAAAACATCATGTTTAAATTATAGTGTCTGTGCATTACTTTATTAACTAATAATCATTCCAAGTAAGATTTGTCACTTTTCAGCACATTCTTTGCGATAAATCCAGTCATGCTAAATGGCTCTTGATTTTATCTTGAATATTCAAAAAACTGCTGCATTAAATTAACTTATTTTATCATCTTGCACGGCAATTGGATTTCGTTCATTAACTCAGTGGCGTTCCTAAAAAATGTAAAGTCTAGTCTATTTATGCTTTTCCATATATATTTAAGAGCCTCCAAAGTTTAATACAATTCTGAAAAGTTAGAAGAGCCTTGCTTTTCTTATAAAAGAGCCCCTAGCTTGCTCCCAAAATGTATTGTGATTAAATTTTTATTATATACACTGCTTTAACAATTGCTTTATATCCTCTTCATTTAAGAGTTATAGATTTTGTTTGAATCACAAATAAAACCGTATAAACAATTATAAAACACTTGTAAACACAACAATCACAATAAGAATCAAAACAAAATTTTGACATTTCTGGTACATATTGCTCGTGAATTACTAACCTGTCAAACTTGTCATCGGCTCACTAGCGCCAAATTTGCGCCTAGCGGTCGTGACTGGAACTATGCGTTGTGAACGCGGATTTTGTACTGAGATAATAGGGCCTGCTAGCTACTGTCAAAACAAGTGTCGCAACTGTCGAAACTTAACTTGAAAACCTTATTCCTAGACAATATTAGAATTTAATGAATTTTATTTTAATGACCTTATTTTGGCATTGTTGTCAAAGTTTTAGAAGAAGACAAAAATTGAATAATATATTTAAATGGCAATAAATTTATGGTTACCTAATTTTTGTTTCCGATTCTTTATCTTTTATATTTAGTAATTGTTTTGTACTAATTTTTTATTTACTCAGTAATTTGTTATTTGCAATATTGGATTTTTGTTATGATATAGTAGGATTCTTCGAAAGGTTTGTCCTGTTAAGATCGGAATTCAATGTTATTCAACATTCGTTTAATGGTTTAATATGAACTGAAGAATATACTGGCAAACATGAATATTGTGCGCACAAGTTTGGTTGATTAGGTATAATTATTTAAGAAGCCAAATACTGCTACATTTAAAATCTTTGACATTAAAGTCTTGATTAACAAAAATAAATTGTAACAAAAAATAATAATAATAATAATTAAAATCTTTCATATTTATTATATCAAGACTAAGTATGATGTACAATATATAACGAAGATAATTTTTTTTGACATTTTTTATATCTGTTCCATACTATTATGCAATATAATTGTAGAAAACTTCAAATGTTGTTGATGACAAATGATTGAATGTCAAAACACAATGTTTGCTGTCAGAATAGGTGCATTATTAAAATTCAGTACTTGGTGACGCCACAATGAATATTCACATGTTTTGATGATAATTATCACCACAATATAGTCGCCATCTCGAGTTTGCAATATGCCAACCGAATTACCGAATTATTCCATTCTAATCCAGACTACCTGTCTCTTTCCTTCCAAAACTTTTGACTTCTGCTTCCAATATGAGGTCAGTTCGTTCTAGTTCGTTTCCAGTTCGGGTTCTATCCAGTTTGGGTATTGTGCATTTTCAGTTCCGTGTTCAATTCGCTTCCAGTGCGTTATCACTATGCTTTCAGTTTGCTCTCCTTCTTTGATTCAGTTTAGAAGTTTTTTTGTTAAGTTTTCTTTTATCATTTAAGGTGAAGTCATTTTTTAGTTTGTTATTATAAGAAAAAAAAAACGTTTTTAGTTTTCATACAGTCTATATTCAGAAATACCAGCGATTCCGTGGGGTCTGATTATCTAATCAAGGCGACACCACATTTTGGTCCTTTCGAGCCGGATATCAATTAAAATTGAGAGTTTCTACAAGTTGCCGATTCTGGAACAAAGTACCAATTTTCGAGTATATAAAATTGCATTTACCGGACATCAAGGTAAAGTCATTATATTTCTAAGTTTATTACATAATCGTAACCTTTCCTGAATATGCCGCCCAAGAGTGTATCTGCCAGTGTTGAAGTCGCACGACTAATTTCAAAACGAAAAAAGTATTTTTCGATTGTACAAAAGACGTACGACTTGAGCAGAAATGTGGAAAATGCGTCAAGCAAGCAACAATTCTGTACGAACCTGATGATGTTAGATAACGTTTGAGATCAATTTATAAAACTTACAGACGATATTAATAAATTAAATTCATTGGAAAATTTCAGTTTCGTACCGCCGGATTATGCTGCCCTCCTATCCGTGGAACAATTATACGCGGAGATAAAGTACATTGAAAAACCTATTTCTGTTGTAAATACTACTTTCTCTATTTCTAAAAGTAAAGATTTCCCATCTGAATTCATTTCAAAATCCCGTCTGGCAACAATCGAAATACCCAAATTTGCGGGTGATTTTAAAAAATGGCCGCTGTTTTACGAAATATTATTCGAAAAACACTTATTCACGAGAATCCCGAGATCGATTCGATATCTTAATTTCATTATAATGGGCGCATTAGAAGGCTCTGTACTGAAAATTTTCAATACAATACTATATCTTCTTCAATCTTCTTTCAATACAATACTTCCAATAATTATTCAATTTTATGGGTTTTTTTATCTTTACAACTGGCGGATAATAAATTTTTCATTCCTCAAACTGTCGATGGAATCTTTCGACTTTATGCACGATTGAACATGATTTCTTATCTAAACAAATAAAAACATTTTTTGAGTTAGAAGATGTACCTGATATGATTGTTTCGGAAAACGATTATTGCGAACAGTGCTATACGTCCATCACAATACGCGGAATTTCGATGAACGTTACGTGGTCGCATTACCATAAATATAAACTCGCGTATAAACGTTATTGTATTTTAGAACGAAAATTTCGGAAATCTTTTCAATTCCATAAACAATATTCGGAGGTAATTCAAGATGATTTACAACAAAAACACATGTCATTTTTAGGCCATGTAATTACTGCGGCGATCATTTAAATCATTTAAATGATTTCGCCGCCAATGAGGGGTACTATATTCCACATTTCGCCGTTATTAAAGACAGATCCTCCACACCGTTATGAATTGTATTTGATGCAAGCAAAAGAATACTGAATTACCTTTCCTGAATGCCAACCTATATTTCGGGTCAAAGCTACAGTCTAACATTATCACAATTCTTCTTATCTTTCGTTTTGGCGAAATTGCGTTAACGGCCGACATTAAACAAATGTATAGAAATATATTAATTAGTGATCAAGATAGATAAAAGATCATAGATAGGTTAGCGTACCCTTTGGAGATTTTCTCCGGAAGATCCCCTCGGCATTTATGAATTCAACACTTTTACTTTTGATATTGCATCATTTCCTTTTCATGCGTTACGCACTATTAAACAAGTGGCTAAAGATGAGGGCAAAAATTATTCCTTAGCCACTGATATAATTCAAAATGATATTTATATCGACGATGTGGTTACTAGTGCAGACACATTCTAAATAGCAAAAAAAAATTACGTTCCGCGCGTTTTGGGCTTCGAATGATCGACTAATGTATAAACAATTTGAATCACACCATAAAACACAAATTAATTTTTCACAAACAATTTCTGAATTCGATACGTTTGTTAAAGTACTGGGATTGAGATGGGATCCAATTCAAGATTGTTTTAAATTTAATATCAACCTTCTTTATCAAAATTGGACAAAATGGCATATATTATCCACCATTGCTCGTATTTGGGATCCTCTAGGTTTAATTCAAATATTTTTTAAATAATAGGTTGTCAAATATCTCCCTTCCGCCTTTTTGTATTATAAACCAAGAGGAAAAAAGCGGAAGGGAGATATTTGACAACCTAATATATTATGCATGAAATCATTTGACACATATTTCAGAAATTTACTAAAAAGAAAAATTTATGTAAATATTAACGATTGAAATATGGATGTGTGTTCAATTTCTATGAACATCCTTTATAACGCCACGAACAACGAACAACATTTATAACGCCAAAAAAGTTTTGTATTGGATTAGGTCATGATTCCGTTACGAAGTGGGTAAATTAGCAAAAGATGGTCAAACGAATACTGATAATATAAACTATACTATACAATTATTACAATAAGAATATGGGCAAAGACGGCGGTGGCAATATCGGTTAGAGCGTGGGCTAGGAGCAACTAGTTTCGGGTTCGCTGGTTCGATTCCCGCTACCGCCGTAGCCTAACATCAGACAGCTTTGATGTCAAATTTCCACTTGGGGTTATATATCACAATATAATTCGAAGTGGAAATCGTCCTTCGTGGACATAGCTGCAACATCCAATCATACGTTAACTATTAGTCTTAAGAGCTAACATCAAAAATATTTCGCATATAAGAGAATGGTTAATAGATGGATTGCCTCTCATGAAATATATAAGTAGTCATAAGTCCTTAATAAACAAACATATAAAATTTCTGATAGCTGTTCAATCAATAAAAAAAGAATATGGGGTTTTGTTGTTTTAATATTAACTCATTACCTCATTGTCTATATACCACTCATACAACACATCCTTACACACTTACAATAATTTAGTATTTTTTGGGTATACTAAAAATTATTTACAAAATACCTTACATGCTAGTATATATATTATAGCTCATGATGTAAACATGTAGAAAAGCAATACAACCAAAAAGTAAATTTTCAAATTATAATAGTAAAAAGTTACTAATAGCCATCTATCATTATAATTTCTTCCTGATATATTGATTCTTGCATTAATGATTTTGGTCGTTTTCCAACCAATCTTCTTTGACCATATCGGCTGCTTTTTCGGCGATCATGTAAACAACAGCGTTGGTATGAGCAGCCGGAATTGTTGGCATAATTGATGCATCCACAACTCGTAGAGCATGCAAACCATGTACCCTAAGTCTAGGGTCCACTACGGCTGTTGGGTCGCTTGCTGGACCCATCTTACATGTACCAACCTGTAAGAATTTTTCTCCTTGTTTAAATTTGGATAACAAATTTGTCAAAGTTTGGTAATTCGTTATTTTACCTGGTGATGCAAGGTGCTCCCGACTTGCCGAATGGCGCATTCCCAGTACTCATCAGATTCGATGGTCATATTTTCACAACCGGGATACGGTGTAGGATTTAGGGTGGTGTTATATTTAGAAAATGCTGTAGTTCTCGCTACTTTTACAGCCTGCAAAAAGATATTTGATGTAGAGCAAATTTTTTGAAATGTTTTGTGAAAAAAATGTTGAGTGCTTCTTATAATATGATAATAATTTTCAATATTTTAAGGAAATACATACGATTTTGGAGTTTTTTAATACTTAGGTAATTTAATTTAGGATTTTAGATAAATACAAAGAATAATTTTGCCAGAAAATCCGACTTGCTAATTTTATATTTTCTCGAAGTTTCATGCTATTGTTAGAACTTCCCGTACCGTAATTAAACATTAGAAGAATAAAAATAATCAGTCAACGAAAATGTCTATGAATAAATATTATAAAAACTAGAATTTTCATTATTTGTTCCTTGTAGACAAAATGTGAAAACATATTATATTAGACGACGATGTTTATATATGTTTCAATGAAATATATAGAAACAAAATCCAATTAAACAGACTTATTGTTAGAATAAAGAATGAAGATATTTTATTTCAATCGCATCAATATTTCATTCGCGAATTATATGAACTGAGTTAACAATTTGAAATAGTTCATGTAGTATCAACTATATAAACATAAGAAGTATTAAAAATAATTTTAAAAAATATTACAGGCGTGGGATTCGAGTTTTGATTTAATCTACGAAAATTGCAGTGACTCTCCAGCCCATACCAAAAACTGATCAGTCTCCACATCAATACGAATCGAATGTTTTTTAAATCATTCAAATCAGCCGATTTGTTCTTCAGAACCTGTCATTTTTTGCACTTTTTGCTCCGTATCTTCGAAACGCCAAAAACTAATCAGCACGTCTCCTTATCAATACGAATCGAATGTTCTTTGAATTATTCAAATCGGTTGATCGGTGTTCCCGAAATAGTAGAAAAAAATTTGTATCCACACACACACATACACATACACACCCATACATCTGTTTTTTCTAAGGTATGCCAAAATATTCAGAAAACTTTGTAATGTAAAGATATATAAAAATGTTCATCTTTAATTTTTTTGCGATTACTATAACTAACCCTACGTGAAGTTGAAAAAATATTACTGGGTTTTTTCATCAAATTTTCTCTCCAAATCTATGCTCTCGTGTTCAAATGAAAGACCGTTAGAATAAATGATTCTTTATTTCTATATTATTGTTTTGATTAGCAAACAATATATAATTAGTGAGAAAACAGAACAGCATGTACACAATCATAGTGTTTGTAAAAGTGAATTACATTTTATGTACACTGAAAGCGTTATAGGTTCAAATTGTAACATATGTATTTATAACTAACTTTTTTAACTTCCCGAATGAGAAGTTTATGTTTTCATCAAAAAATCCGATTCGCTAATTTTATGTTTTCTCGACGTTTCAAGCCATTCTGAATCGAATGAGACCAAATTTGTAAAAATTATGTGTGTGTGTGTGTGTGTGTGTGTGTGTGAACATATTTTTCGCCGTAAATCTCCGTTTTCTCAAAAACGGATGGACCGATTTCAAAAATTTAAAAGCCATTTGATGTATCTCGATGTGGACTATTGTTTGTCCTTATTGTTTTGTGCGACGACCGGCCAAGCCGTTTCTTTATAAATAAAAGAAGTAGAAAAAAAAGTTCATTCACGTTTTAGTCCGCAATTCTGCATCGATTTTGAAAATTCGATTCAGAATTAATTAATAACGATTGCTTCAAATATTTTCAAATAGACAATTATAAATACTATATATTCTATCGCCCGTATATTATATAGCGACAATCTTATTATCACATTAAACATTTAAGATTTAAGATTAGCATTTAAACATGTTTATATTAATAAGAGATGCCGAATGAATCCATCTGAGGATATATTTTTTACGATAAGAATAATATATGAATACCATATGAAATATATACACTTTTTAATTCAATTGTAAATTTAAAATTTTGCAAAAAAAAATCTGAAAATTTAGAAATTTGTTTGAACCGTATACATGAACAAAAAGAGTAACAGAATTAGTATACATTTTCAAAATATTTATAAACTATCTGATAATTGAATGAGCATATTTATAACTATAATCTATAGATGGCATTGTTTACAATTTGTTCCTGTAATTTCCAAACCACTGGGCCTGCCTTCCCTAAATTTCAATCACTTCTTCATTTATCAATACAAGTAAAATGTTTCTTCAATCATTCAAATCGGGCGCTCCGTTCTCTCAAAAACTGAATTAGCGTTTCTGGAACTTTTAGTCCTGCATTTTCGACAATCTTTTTCGCCAAAAGCTATATAACACGACTTCCCATCAATATTTATTGAATTGATTTATTAAAGAATTGATATTGAAAACAGGTCTAGCCATTTTGGAGATACGGAGCTAAATGTGCGAAATCGTCCACAAAAAATATTTTCATAATTTGTCAAGAGTCTTGTATGAGTAAGTACTGTCAGATGTTTTAAACAGATCGCAAAATATTGTTGCACTTCAAGGAGTATACATCATTGCTAGTTAATATAATAATAATACCTCACCATTTTAATTCCTTCTCTCAATGCATTTAAATCCCGCGTGTCGTTGAAATAATTTGGTTGTATAATAGGCCAGTGAAACGGGTTACGACTTTTCAGCAAAACACGACCTTTACTTCTTGGCAACAGCAGTACAGGCACGATGCTAAATGCATCTTGGTCCATCATACCTAAAATATAATAAATGAATTAATATGTAAATGATAATAATGGATATTTTATATCGTACCTTTGTAAAGTTTTCTATAAAATGCATCAGTAATACCAAGAAGGTTTCTCAGAGTCCCTGAAAAATCACCACTTATTGCTCCACCACCCAACACAAGTTCCATGTCAGGCCTATCATCAATTAAGTTTTCTGCGAATTTCGTTTTATGAAAAGCAAGGCCTAATGCACCTCCTGGAACTGTAAAAGGGCCTCTACCGCGTATTAAATAGTCAAACATAGCTGGTAGGTTGAATTGAAGGCGACGTTCTACAATACTGATAGTATCATTGACGCGAAAAGCCAAACCTGAATAAAATTTAAAAAAATAAATAAGACAGTAATGTTTGTTGATGATAGTGACTTGCTTATTAACCAGGAAAAGACATGTGATCCTGCATATTGTAACCAACCCTCAAATTTTGTATTACTTGAATTCCAAGTTCTTCCAAATGCTCCTTAGGTCCAATTCCAGCCAACATAAGTAAGTGCGGCGAGTTTATAGAACCAGCGGCCAATACTACTTCTTTGGTTGCTAAGACTTTATGTTTTTGCCCATCTTTATAGAACTCGACGCCTCGTGCTTGGCGTCCCTCTATAATTATTCTGGTAACTCTAGCTTTTAGAGCTATGTTTAAATTCTTACGGTGTTTTATTGAACGTAAAAAAGCTTTGGCTGCACTGCAGCGTCTACCAGAACGCAGATTTGCTTGCGCTGGTGCAAATCCTATGACATGATTGGTATTGTAATCCAAATTTTTATAACCTAACTCAAGACCTTTAAACGAAATAGTTTATTAGACTTTAGTTAATACAAAACTGATACCGCCAACTTACCAGCTTTCAAAAAACAATCCACAAGTCTACGATCGTGTGGAACATTGGTCACAGTCAAAGGGCCTTGTTTTCTGTGATACTTCTGGTCAATCCAGATAGGATTTACCTGGTTGTCTTCAGATTTCATAAAATACGGCAACACCTCGGTAAAATTCCAACCAGGATTATCGGACCTAGACCAGTCGTTGTAATCTTTAGGATGTCCACGCTGGTAAATCATAAAATTTATTACACTGGATCCTCCTAAAACTTTTCCACGTGGTTGATTACAAACACCACCTATAATAATATAATGATGTTATAAAGCGGTGGTTAAAATTAAATTTTGAACGAAAGTTACAAGTAAATATAAATTTTGTATTTTATTTTGATACCTTCCAGTCCTAAACAAGCTCCATCCATCTTCTCCGCTTTATATCCCCAATTCAAACTCCCCACTTGACTCAAGGCTGCCAAAAGTGGCACATCGGTCAAAAAAGTTTCGTCGCCACCAGCTTCCAATAATAAAACCTTACAAAAATTCTTATTGTAAATACTTTAGTAGCATATTATTTATATTCTTATGCTAACCTTCCATTGGCTAACTTCGGATAAGCGGTTGGCCATAACAGAACCTCCGGAACCGCCACCAATTATTATAAAATCATATTCTTGGTCAAATTCTTTTGTATCCCTTATACGTTCTTCAGGATTATCAAATAAATTTTGAAACGCAGCCCATTGTGCTTCCACCAAATTGTTGTATTGCAACACAAACAAAAATATTGCAACTAAGAACATTTTAAGTAACTTTATTTTATAAATTTAGGGATAAGAACTGCGTTATCTACTAATATTGGATGGAATTTTTGAATAAAATTGTTCGACGACTCGAAACTATTGAATTATTATTCATATCAACAAGATTTCGAACAGTTTTGTGAAATGTCCTGATGAATTTATTGAACATACCTGAAACATAATTATATTTAAATCAATAATTATTTTGTTTCAATTTTTAATGCGCCTATCGAAAAAAGAACATAATATAAATATAAGGAGATATTTATTAACATACGAGTACAGCAGAAGAGCGATCAGGTTTAGCATAATTTTTCAATAAATTAATTGTATAGGCTATTTTATGGAAGCGTACAATTAACTTTGACACCATACAATGCACGTGATTAATAAAGCAAGTGAAACAATTAGCAATTCTTCGAATATTCGCAATTAATAAGTCGCTAATAAAGCAAGATGAATATATAGATTGGATTTAGAAATGTATGTTTTTTGCTAGGCCAAACGTATTGGTGGTAAATAAGTAAACGTTCAATTCTGGCAAAACAATTCCTTCGTCTACTTGATATTAAACTGTATTAGGGGTGTGGACAGCTGTGACACTCGCGTCTTTCTGGTATGATTAGATTTTATGACTAAAAAAGACAGGTTTTCAGTATTTTTACACACACGAGTGTCCAAACTGCCATTTAATAAAAGTGGCACATAGGTAGCCAGCCTACCCTTTTGTAATTGAATGTTTAATTTAATTTTTAATTAATATGTTATATGAAAAAATTTAAAAATTCCATAACCGTATAAACAGATGTCTATTTAGGTCGTTCTATTGCATAAACAATAAACGATCAACTCGGCATTGAACTGTATATATATTGCTTTCCCAAGAGCTTCATATCAGGTCTCAACCAGTTGAAAGTGGCATTTAGCCCTAAGGCAAGTTGCATAGGAAGCATTAACGAGTGCAATACCAACTAGTGAGGGGTATGGCATCGTCCCTTAAGGCAAATTGCTCGAACTTCCCGTACTTTAACGAAATGTTCGAGAAATACAAATGTTTTCAGATTATTATGAATATTGTATGCAATATTTAATTATAAATACTGAATTGCAAAGTTGAAATTATTTGTTTAAAGTATATTAGAACTATAGTTAGAATTAAAAAGAAAATCTGTTTTATTTTCGATATACAAAAAAATTTTTTTTTGAAAAAAAAAGTTGAAACAAAATTTTTTTTCCAAAATCAATTATTTTGTTAAGACAAGCAAAAACGCTTAGTTCTCTTAAAAACTGCCATTTTTTGCACATTTAGCTCCATATCTTTGAAATGGCTGGGCCTGCCATTGCCAAAAACTAATAAACACTTCTCCCAATCATTACTAATTGAATGCTTTTTAAATCATTCAATCAATCGGATGCTCCGTTCTTTCAAAAACTCGATTTCTATTTTTTGCGCTCTTTGCTCTTTATCTCCGTAACTGCTGGACCTGCCTTTGCCACAAACTCTTCAGCACATCTCCCTATCAGTAGGAATCAAATGTTTTTTTAACCATTTAAATCGGTTGATCCGTGCGCCCGAAAACGTAACGGAAAAAATGTATCCATACATACATACACACACACACATCCATTTTTTCTGTGGTATGCAAAATGTTCAGAAACCTTCAAAACGTCGAGAAATGTACGGAAAGTTAAAAAACAAATACCAGGCATTATCGGATCGCAGCGAGATGGATACAGACTGTGAGTTTGATGAGTACCGGGCAGTTAAAAGAAAGAAGCAGTCACGGCAAAATAATAATGAAAATAAAAACAAAAATTTGAAATTGAAACTGAATGTAGTTGACGTCCAAAAGCCATTTACATCCAAAATAGAGAAGTTAGCAGCCAAGAAAACCACCGTACCAGAGCCAAGAATTCCACCCACAATTGTCAAAGACCAGCTAGAACTGAAAACAAATAAATAAATAAAAATACCACAAAAATTAATTTTAGAACGCAATACCCCAAACCGCAACTTTATAAAATATTCGCCAACACTCTAGATGAACTTGAAACAATAAAGAAAATATTGCGGGAATGCGATTTTCAGCTTTACACGTATTCAAGACAGCAAGACATTTCCAATAAAATGACATTAACTGGCTTGAATCCTAGCATCACAGAGACGGAGGTATTTGACTAGCTGAAAATAAAAGGCGTTAAAGTAAAATAGGTGATGCAAATCAAGAAAAAAGCGTCCGACGGCAGTCAACAAAAATAACCCATTTACTTTGTGCTTCTCGAAAAAGAACAAAAAATAGCAAAATTGAAAGAAGTGGGAAAATTATAGGCCATACAATAAGAACATCCAGTGCCATAAGTGCCTAACTTTGGTCTTTGGCCACACTTCATACACGTGGGACATGCGCTACAGGTGCGTAAAATGCACAAATGAGCACCCACCGGGAGAATGCACAAAACTGTTCACTGAGGAGCCCATAGATAAACAAGTAGAAGAGGAGTCTAAGTGCGTAAACTGCCAGAGCAACCATCCTGCTAACTACTCTAAAGGCAAAGCTCTGATCAACTATAGAGTTAAAAGAGAGAATGATGCGCAAAAGTAAAAATAATACTTTTTAGGCAGAAGTGTGAAATAATGATCAATGTGTAAGTGTCAAAAATAAAATATTTCTGGACAATTAAAAAAAAATATTGTGATAAGTTTTTTCTTGATAATAAATACGGAGAGATCACAAAAAACTTTTTAACAGGCATCCATCTAGATAATAAATGGAAAGAAAACTGAAATATATGTTTCTTAATATAAATTTAATAGATCCATACATATCGATTTCCAATATGACTCTTCTTCAGTGGAAACAAGACACACAAGTAATCAATGCACTAAACACAAACAAAAACATGTAAAGAAATTATGACTTTGCAAACAAGCATGTTGGTGAAAAATAAATAAATAAAAATTATTCTTCGAAAAAGAATTGAACAAAAAAATAATAAATTCAAACATAATATCTTAAAGAATGAAATAGGATATATATATATATAATTATAAATTAATAGATATAATTATATGATTGGTTGTATTTATATAATATTTCAATTTTGATCGGCATACAGTTTTTGATGATTATGTCTATATAATTTTTATATGCTACTCAGAAAAATATATAATTTGGTCTACTTCATTTAAAAATGGCACAATTATGGGCAGTTGTTATAACAATTTTACGGCTCTTCATTTTTTACACCTCACTTCAATTTACTTGCAATCTCTGTATTAATTCAATTTTACAATTTACAATCACTTGTATTAATTCAATTTTGTTTGAAATTTAATTTTATTTTCTATTATTTCTATCTATTTAAAAATACTGTGAAGAGTTAAATGGTTGATCGCGAAATGAAAATTAATAAACAACATGACACTGCTTTTGGAGCGCGAAGAGAAGAGGAAGGTCGCGGTTCAAAAATTTCGTAATTTGAGTAAATGTTGATCTCTTCATACCAGATTAGTTTTATAATACAAAGTTGAATATAAATTTAAATTATGTGTGGAAATAATATTATTAAATAATTTGTTGCACGTTTTCAAAGAAATTTTGCAATAAAACAAACGGGTCGAACTATATAATAATGTAATATACTTTTAAAATTTGTTTCTTGACAAATCAAAATTTTCCATTATAGTTTATTATTATAATATTTCTATTATAACGTTACTTTATATGAATAGTTATGTGCCTACGTTATTTGTAAAAACATGCATGATTTTTTTCCCAGTAAGATTAAACAATTTTTAACTTTCCGTAGGGTAGTTTTAGTAATGGGCCAAAAATCGAAAATGAACATTTTTGCATTTCGCCACGTTTTAAAGATTTCTGAACTTTTTGGCATACTTCAGAAAAAATGGATATAATGTGTGTGTGTGTTTTATATGTCTGCATTTTTTTGCCAACGTTTTCGGGCGCCCGGACCAACCAATTTTAATAGTTCAGAAAACATTCCTATTGATAAGGAGATGTGCTGATTAGTTTTTGGCAAAGGCGGGTCTAGCAGTTACGGAGTTACAGAGCAAAGATTGCAGAAAATAGAAATAGAGTTTTTGAGAGAAAGGAGCATCCGATTTGAATGATCTAAAAAAACATTAAATTCGTAATGATGGTAAGAAGTGGTAATTAGTTTTTAGTAAAGGCATGTCCAGCCGTTTCAAAGATACGGAGCTAAATGTACAAAAAATTGCTTGAAATTGAATGCTTCAAGAAACTTTCTGCTGGTTTTAACAACATAATTGCTTAAAAAAATTGTTTCAATTTTTTTAATTTTTTTTATTTTTTTTTATAATTCAGAAAATAAGTCAGATTTTAATTTTAATTCTGACTAAGGTTCTGAAACTTATATACTTTAAATAAATAGTTTTAACTTCGAAATTCAGTTTACATATTTCTTATAAATATTAGACAATATTATAGTATTTATAATAATCTATTTGAAAACACTTAATATTCCTCGATCATTTTGTTTTGGTACGGGAAGTTCCAGCAACTTGCCTTAAGGCACGATGCCATACACCCCTAGTTTTTCTAATTTTATTGTCCGTATTTTACGTTTTTTTCAACAGTTCTAAACTGATCTTTAACATTCTAAAACTGCTTAAAAGATTTCATTTGGAAACAAACATTATTATCATATGGAAAAAGAAAAGCAAAATGAAAGGGATAGGTGAAAACTAAGATTTATTAACAAAAAATACTAAAGTACGCCCAAATTTACACCCAAAAGAGTGTGGTGAAGCTTACAAAGATCCAAAAAAAAAAGATTCTGCGCTGTGTTTAATTCACATGTGGATAAATTCGGGAGTTACAGAAGAAATTATTTGCATACACTTAAGGAACGTCTTAATTTTGTTAAAAATAGATGTAAATTAAACATTTAAAAGCTTTTTTTTGTTTAGCCTCCGCAGAATAATTGACTGTAAAATAATGACCTAAATCTGAGGCATC